TGTTTCTGACCTCTCTGCTTTAATAAAGCTTGCACATGGATCCGCATGTCTCACGTCTTGTCAGCCCCGTAACACCTGTGTTCCGCAGCCCTGCAAATAATTGTTTCAAATATGAAACAATTATCTGGGGAAATGACTGTTACTACATTTCTATTGCATTCCATGTTGAAGAACTTTGTGTTGTTTCTATTTTAATGTACTTTTAAAGTTTAAATCACATTAAAAGCTTAATTTGTAATTATGAGTGAATGATGATGCATTTATATACCGTCACCGTCACTCACAGCCGCTCGCACGTGTTTTGCACATGAGCCGCACGCAGCCCAAAATGAAACGGCTTAATCGACCATCGATAGCTTTAATCGATTGCATCTCTTATCGACAATTAATCGATCATCGATTAATCGTTGACATCCCTAGTTGAGAGTCATTTCAATAGGAATACAAGCAATTTGAAATGTTGGTTGAGGTCGAAAGCTTTCCCCACACAGATTTCGAATCGGATTCAAGTTGACACATGAATTTGCTGCATTGACCAACAGAAAGCTTTTTGGTTTGTATGATGAAGCAAAATGAACCTTTTTTGCGTGCATAATCTTGCAAAAAATTTTGCTAAAGTGACCGTACATTTTTCATAGAATTTCCAGAATAGGTAGTACATTTTATGAAGAACTTATAAAGGTATGTGTGTATGTGCGTAGTATGAATGCAATCTGGAATGACCAGATCTGCATGGTCATAAACTACAATGTCACAATGTCTCCCATGACCTCATGGGATAGTAAAGTGTTCATCAGATACGCACTTTGAAATCTTGATGGAAATAGTAGGTGATCTAGGTCTAGGGTTGGGTACCGAACTCGGTACTTTTAAGGGTACCAACCGAATTGCGTCGATATTACTGAGTACCGATTCACGTTAAATCAATCGGTGCCAAATTTCGGTACCTGAGAACACATCTGGGCGCATACGCTACAGAGAGAGAAAGAGAGACCCTGTGACGTGAGGTCACCCCTGCAACTCGTTCAAACAACACACAGGGCAAGCCGAAATGTTCTGAAGTGTCGTTACATTTCTAGGGCCATATGGTTTCTGCGAAAACGCGGATGGGATCATGGTGTCCATTCATAAAAACGTACTTTATAGGAGTACATTATTCATCAATTTTGGACGAATAAATCAAAAGTAACCACTGCCACTTAATTCGAATCGCGATATGAACTAGTGTCTGCGAATATTAAAATGCAAAAAGACGGTTTAAATATGAATCCTGCATGTTCCGCTTGCCTCTGTATGCATGAATGGTGGAAACGCGGTTTTGTTTACTACACAAATACTGAAGCACGCGTGACGCTCGCGGTGATTTCCGGTACCGTACCGGTTAAAATGTGAACAGTACCCAACCCTATCTAGGTCCTACTGTTTTTCAAAAACTGTGTATTCGGACATACTACTCTTTTGGCATACCATATTTCACATAATATTTTATAGGGAATTAGGCATATTCAGATACGGGGTCAGTCCTTTTCTTGTATACCTATACAATAAATTATATTATTAAAATATGGTGGTTCTCAAAAAATTCTTGGTTGCGGACCAATTCAATAGTAAACCAGAAGTTGCAGACCACCAAACACCTCAAATCTGGGAGAAACCACCAATTGACCTATCGGTAAGCCCCTCCCTTCGAACGCAGATGAGCCAATGGCAGTCGAGTATCAGTTGCACGGGGAGCGGAACTCGTTCCTAAATCCAACCAAAACAGAGCAAAATGTCCCTAAGCATTCAACCCCAATCACAATGAAGACGAAAACGTTCATTTTCTGGTTGTCATAACTCTCATTAAGTTACACTTTTCATCTGTTCAAGCAGAACATTAATGTCATCTTGTGCTTCAGCAAGGTATCTCTGGCTAAAACTAGCTAACGTTAGCGTTAAAGTTAGTGAGTCCATGCTAACGGGCAAACCTAAATAGCAAACTGTTCTCACGTCATGTACCGTGCAGTGAAAGTCAAAAACACATAAACGAAGGTCTATATTAGCATGCCTCTCCATATTAATCTGGTTAAATGTAAATCAATTTAATCTTACTCTGCGGTATATGAACGGTGTTGGTCCGGGATGTTGTCATTGCGATAGTGACGACCGTAACATAATTCTCCCATTTGCATTGTGATCTGTATTTTTACATATTTATTTTAACATCTTTTATATATCCCTCCATGGTATATTTAAGTCCCAAATTGATCAGAAACACCTCGGAAGAAGGTTTTCACTGACAGCTGCTTCGAGCAAGTTTGGATGCCCAGAAATGCTGTCTAGATAGGTACCCTGTTAGGTTTTAGGAAGCGCAGTCATTTTCTCTGATTCACATTTATCATGATGACCCATTATGACCTGAAGTGTATGTTTATGTGTGTTTAGGCTGGAGCAGGATGTTAAGAAGCTGAAGGCAGACCTGCAGGCTAGCAGACAGACCGAACAGGATCTGCGCAGTCAGCTGGGCTCTCTAGGCAGCTCTGAACGCAGCATACGCTCTGAGCTCGGACAGCTGCGACAGGAGAACGAACTACTGCAAAACAAGTGAGACATCCCACCTTCAGTTTGCTCCTTAAGAGAGCACAGAGCAGACAGGGGACTGTACTTGTATTAATCCAAACTCTTCTTTGTGTGTTCAGACTTCATAACGCCGTGCAAGCGAAGCAGAAGGACAAGCAGACAGTGGGGCAGCTGGAGAAGCGTCTAAAGGTAGAACAGGAGGCTCGTGCTGCGGTAGAGAAACTGTTAGCAGAGGAAAAGAAACGCAAGAAGCTGGAGGAGGCCACAGCGGCCCGTGCAGTCGCTCTTGCTGCGGCAACCAGGTGCTATTGACACACCTTCCCATCATTCCATTGTATTTCATTTCCTAACATTCATTCTATTATATATTATATATTGTGCATTTCGTTCTCTTCCTTTCCATTTCATTATACCATTCAAAAGTTTGGGATCAGTAAGATTTTTCAATGTTTTTGAAAGAAGTCTCTTATGCTCACCAAGGCTGCATTTAAAAAATGTTTTAAATAAAAACAGTAAAATTGTGAAATATTATTTCAATTTAAAATAACAGTTTTCTTTTCTTTTATATTTTAAAATGTAATTTACTCCTGTGATGCAAAGCTGAATTTTCAGCAGCCATTACTCCAGTCTTTGATTATAAAGTTCAGAAGAACAGCATTTATTTGAAATAGAAATATTTTATAACTTTATAAATGTCTTTATTGTCACTTTTAATTAATTTAATGTGTCCTTGCTAAATAAAAGTAATTGCTTGGGAAAAAAAATCTTACTGACCCAAAACAGTCACATACATAACATGTATGCCATACTATTAATTAATTTTTCTGCCACTCCATTCTTTTTCATTTTTTTCTGACTGCTTTTTATAGCTTTGCCGTCATCATCCATTCTGTCTGTTTCTCACATGATTCTCTCTTTTCCCTTGTCAGTTATATCTTCCCTTTCATGAGATCTGTTTCTGTCGGTTTTCTTTCCATACAACTGCAGGATATTGAACTTTTTTTTTTTTTTATGTGAACTAATGTGTGTCTATTTGTGTGTGTCAGAGGTGAGTGCACAGAGTCTCTGAGGAGGAGGATTTCTGAGCTGGAGACGGAGTTTAAGAAACTCACGCTTGACATCAAGGTGAAAGAAGAACAAATCAGAGAGCTGGAGCTCAAAGTTCAAGTGAGGAAATGTTCAAATGCCATATTCGCTATTAATCTTTCAAAATCTTCTTCTGTAAATGAATAAAAAGTATACAAATAGACTACTCCATCTGTCATGTCTTTCTAGGAACTACATAAATATAAGGAAAATGAGAAGGACACAGAGGTTCTGATGTCAGCGCTGTCAGCGATGCAGGATAAAACCCAGCACCTGGAAAACAGCCTCAGCGCTGAGACCCGAATCAAGCTGGACCTCTTCTCTGCCCTCGGAGATGCTAAGAGACAGCTGGAGATCGCACAAGGTCTTCCGTCACACACTTTTGTCCAGATTACCCAGAGAGATTAGCATTTAAACACTACCTAATATGTTTCTGAAAACAGTTGAAAATGAAAAATGTCTATTCATCAAAATATCTAGCAGCACAATTGCTTTCAACATTGATGATGATAAGAAATGTCTCTTGAGCAGCAAATCAGCATATTAGAATGATTTCTGAAGACTGGAGTAATGATGCTGAAAATTCAGCTTTGTGTCACAGGAATAAATTACATTTTAAAATCTATTCAAATTGAAAAAGTAATTTTAAATTGTAGTAATATTTCACAATATTACTGATTTTACTGTATTTTTGATTAAATATATGCAGCCTTGGTGTGCATAAAAGAGTTCTTTTAAAAGTGTTAAGGAACATTACTGACCCCAGACTTTTGAATGATAGTGTGTGCCTTTTTCCCCCAAACATGTAAAAACACTAAACGTTGTTCCTGTCTGGATTTGTGTTCTTTTAGGTCAAGTTCTGCAGAAAGACCAGGAGATTAAAGACCTGAAGCAGAAGATAGCAGAGGTCATGGCCGTCATGCCCAGCGTGGTGTATTCAGCAGATACAAGCAGCATGACCCCAGTCACGCCCCATTACTCCTCCAAGTTCATGGACACCAGTCCGTCAGGACTGGACCCCAACGCATCTGTTTACCAGCCCCTGAAAAAATGAATGCTTGTTTCCCACCACAGCAGACCTACACTCATTCTCACCAGACACACACATATAAACACACACACAGTCTTCTCTGGTTGTTTTTTTTTCCTCCATAGGCCCAGATTCAGATTCATCTTTGGCATGTCTGTGGCTCAGATTGCTTTTTTGTTTTAGTTTTTTTCATCTTCTATTACTCCAGCTTCTTGCCTGGTCTGAAGGATGTTGTATTGTGCGACTGTATTTGTTGTAGTAAAAAAACAAAAGACAAAAAAAAGAGGACTTTTAAGGGACATCACACGTTGAGTAGGAAACTTCTGTTTCTTTTCTCTTGTAAATGTCTAGAAACCTCACAGAAGTTGGTGAGTATCTTCCCTCAGTCCATTCAGAGACCGCTTGCATCCATTTTTTTCCCTCTTTGGATTTCGGCATTGATTTTACGTTTTTTTTTTTTTTTTTTTTTTTCGGGAGGGCTTTAGAAAAAAAGTTTTTTTTA